AAGAGACAAAATATAATATATACAACATAATAGTAAAATTCATATTAAAATTGATTTTAAGAGAATAGAAATACTAAAGAGATATCAAGTCACTTACCTGATTTTCTTTAAAACCAGAAATCAAAACCCAATCACTGGAACCCTTTTGAAGCTTGAAGATGATGAAAATATAATAATTCCACTTTTGAAGCTTGAAGATGATGAAAATATAATAATTCCAAAACTTGAGAGATCAGGGAGGATCCTGCTGATAACGTATTATGAAATAAATCTAAAAGAACAACTATAAGAGAAAGTATTTAGAGGGAAAGAAAATATTTACAGGGAATAAGAAGATTTTATTCAAGTATATATTTACAAATAAAGTGAAGGGGCTTATTTATAGGCTAATAACCCCTTATCTAGATTAAATTTACAAGATGAAGACAACACTTAGGGATTAGATAGATTAAATTCTAATCCAATCTAATTTACATCAAATCTAGATATAGATAATATAAATGGATATTTACAAAAATATTCATAACAAATTCGTTTTTATATAATAAATTAAAGTATTGGTAAATTTTTGTTAATATTATTTAAAATATAAATCTCGATAAGACAAATGAAAAACTATATACTTTCGTCTTTTCGAGAAGATAAAACAACCCATTTTTAACAAGATTTTTTAAATATGATTGTCACGTTTTTCCAATCATATAAAGAAATTCAAACTTAAAAGTCTTTTGGTATGACATTCTTGCCTAACCATGTGAGTCAAGTCTGAGACGGTGGTACTATCTTCTCTCCTTTTGCATCATGTTAAGTAGAGAGAGAATTAAAAAGACATAATCTTTTAAAAAGTATGTTAACTATTTTAATAAATTTTTATTTTTTTATGATGTTTAACTAATTTTTTGTATTTTATTTGAAATTAAATTAATTTTTATAATTAATAATTAATTAATTATTAATAATTAAAATATCATTTGTTATTTTATATCTCTATGTTATTAACATGGCATTAGTGTAAAAGGTAAAAATGTTATATACTATGTCCGCATACTATATTAAAATAACACGTTATCATCAATTATAAATTGTCAATATATCATCTTATCATCAATTATGATATGTCATCATGTCACATCAATATTTTGTGATATCAAATAATAAACAACATTTTTACTAAGTCATCACTATTCATAAAAGTATATTTGATTCAAAATAAAAATATAAAATTTGAATGAATATAATAAAAAAATAAATATTTACTTAAATTTTTTAAAATAATATAAGAATTTTTTAAAAATTATGTTAATTAAAAACCTAAAAACTAGCAATAGTATGGGCCATGGCTAGAACGCACGGAACATGGTAAAAATGTGAAAGAAAACATAAAAATACTTTGAAAAAGGGGAGCCAAAAAACTAAGACAAAGAGAGGACTCATAATTACAACAATTATTGGTCTCTATCAGTGGAGCCTTCAAAAAATCTCTGTCTTTGTCACCGGTTTTATTTATGAAATCAGACATTTTGTTTCTTTTAAAAGAAGTTAGACATGTTTAATATAATATTTAAAACAATTTTAACTTAAATTATTTAAAAAAATTTAACTTACATTTAGTCAAAATTTTATATGTTTATTTTAAATTAAATAAATATTTATAATTAATAATAAATTAATACTTATTAATCAAAATATTATTTATCATTTTCAATCACATTATATATATTTATATATTATAATAAATAATAATGTAATATAATGATAAAGTTATGTGATTTTTTTATTATGTTATGTGCATATGAAATGACTCATGACTTTTTGTCACGGTCTACAAATCCGTAGCACGCCCAACCTACAAGGATTGTCGAATCACTAGCACTTATAGGGATTTCTCAGCCCCAAGATGATCTTATCAGTCCACAGACGAGTGGACTAGGAGGCTCGTAGACGAATGTGAGCGAGCCATCCGTAGTAGGGAGTTGCTAGATATCCCCAAGGACCCCAACATTTGAATGTCTAAGTAGCACCAGCATCAGGCAACAGAACAACAGGCTTGGCATACTAGCACAACGTGCTAAGCGCACGCATGAGCTGTAGCGGCACAAAAAGATTGCACAACACGAGGCTACCGACGAGAACATCACGCACATGTGAGAAGCATGGAGAACCCGCGTGTTTCAACAGCTTGCCTGATTGTCAGTTATGCGGACACAAGCCGCATTACTCGTAGACAGCCTGACCTCGAGATAGGGGGTAGCACGCTACTTAGTCACGCACAACCTGACCAAGTAAGAAGGGGCCGCATACACGATAGTGTCGCACCAATGAACCTCAACTTGGAGGCCCACACTTCAGAAGACCTCGCACACACAAGCCGCACACCAAAAGGTCTTGTGTGGGAACGACGCACGCTTAAAGGCCACGGGCCCCTCGGACACAGTCCATTAGGACGAAAATTTGCCACACCAAGAAGCTTGGCTCAAATTTGGGCCAAACTCAAGCGAGTCGTTCATACTCGACCAACACAGTGGGATGCTCAAAAGGACACGCACAAGCCGCCTGACCACACAGGGAGTTCGAGTGAAAAGTTCCAAGTTCAAATAGGATTGCTCGCATCGGGTAGTTTTAGTAAGGCTAAAACTCTATTTTATTTTACTTGCAAAAACTTTATGCTGGTTGTGCTCCTTTGGAGAGCATTAGATCGGCACTCTCTCAATTTGGCTAGATCTGGCATTCTTCGACCAGATCCAACTGCAAGGTAGCTGGCCTGTGAGAGAATTTTTTTTTAAATACAGAGAAAAAAATAAAAAATTATAATTTATATAGTGATAATTTTTAAATTTAATGAAAGATAAAATTATTTTAAAAATATTATTACATAATCAAATTAATAAAAATATTAACAATTAATTAATAGCAAGACATATATATTCAGTAAAAGAATTTTTTTAAGATAGACTGATCATTTGGAATACTAATAGACTTGCGTATAATTATAATCAAAAGTTAAATAGATTAGCGTATTTGCCCATACCATTAGCATTTGATTTATTGGTTCTTGTTTAAAATAGTAGGGTTCAAATCTCTTTTTCTCTAATTATATAAAAAAATTAAGAACTAATAAAATATAAGTCTATTATTCAAATTTATAACAAAAAATTATAAATTTTATAACATTTATCAAATATAACAAAATTTAATAATAATAAATTTTAATCATAATAAAAATATTAATATTTATATAGATCAATAAATGAGTTTTAACCGTGTACTAAACATATCTACTTAACACGTTAACATAATTTAAAAATAGATAATAAATGAGTCACGAGTTATACATATATATATGATAACACGATTAATTAATCGTGTATTAAATTAATTAAGTAAGTTTGATACGGTAAAAACATAATTTATTCGTGTATTAATTGTGTATGTCTTAATCGTGTGTGCACAATTAATACACGAAACACAATTAACAAACCTAAACATGTTTAAATCAATATCATGTTATCATGTCATATACAAAATTATCAAATTTAAATTGATATTAATTATCAACTTAAATCCAAACACATTTAAATCAGTATTATATTATCGTGCCATATATAAAATTATCTAATTTAAATTGACACCAATTGTCAACAGAGCAAATTGTTGGGATCTCAAAGCCTCAGGGGTGTTACGTTTCTTTGAATTTGTGAATAATGTTAAGCACCCGCTTGGCCTAGAGCTTCAATTCTACTGTGGGAATCAACTTAATCCAGGGCTTTTGAAGCTGTGCATCATCAGTGTCTTCAACAGGTTTGAGGTTTACCAGGAGCATTCATAATGCTAAGGCTGAATGAATTTACTGAGTTAGCGGTGGAATGGTACTTGTGTCTGTCGGTCATGGTTACGGACTGATATAGACATATCTCATATGCGAGTGTACAGAATTGAAGAGCCAAAAATGAACAGTCGAGAGAGGACAAGTCTTTCCTGTTCTCGACCAGCGCAATGAAAAGCTCTGAGGCTAACATCATTACAATGTCTTGGAAGTGAAATTACTAATGTTGTCCACGATACAACTTATTCCTCTCTCCGCTCAGTTAATTTTTTTCCTTTTTTAGTATGTCTGGTCATGCTACTGTGCTTTCTTGTTGCTGTTCTTATCCTGATTAAACTAAGATTATAGATTTGAGAATAAAATATACTTATTTTATAAATTTTAATTAAAATTACATAAAATTATATTAATTTTTAAAATAAATATTTTGACTTAAAAATACAAACATCATTAACAAAAATTATAAAAAAAATTAAAATACTTTTTTATTAATTTAAAAAATTATAATTATATTTTAAAAAAAAAACCCACCAAAGAGGGGATGGGAGGGGAGCACTGATTAAGGGAAGCACGAGATCTGTGCTTCCAAGGGAGGGGAGCACCTGGGTGCTCCAATTGGGCTCCCCAGATAGGGAGTCTTTTTTTTAATTAATAAAAATAATAATAAAATTATATAATAATAATAAAACCATAGTCACCCCAAAACAGATGGAGGCGCATATCTGAACTCAAATTTCATATGAATGAGTGTGTTTAAAAAGGATAATGGGACTTGTACCAAAAATATTCAATTATATTTCTAAGATACTCAATATTTGTTCATACTTGTCACAGACACGCACAAATATCATTGATAAATCAGTTAATTTATAAATTAGATAGTACAATCAAAAACAGATTATTTTCACGTTAAGTGAGACAAGTGATGAGACGAACAGATTTAGTTTATATTAAATTCAATTTAAAAATATCATTTAATGAAAGTTTTATTATTAAAGACTAAGACGCTGTATGATTAATTATAAATAAAATAATAAATTTAATAAACTCTGACAATTATACATGTTCAGTGTTTGCACTTTGAGAATGTCTACATAACCAGTGACCATCACGTGGCTACCAACTCACCAGGCGAATATTGCAGTATACAGGAGCATCAGATATAATTTAGCACGAATTTATCGATTAAATTATTTAATTGCCATTCCAAATGCTTTACAAAATTATACAGTGGAAACTGGAAATTGATGCGGAAATGATCACATATTAAGCAAAGACAGACGAAACCCAGAGTGTTACTTTGATTAAACAAGCAAACTTTTCTGCAACTTTAGACCTCGGATGATTTTCCTTGGGGTGGCGGAGGTGAGACTGGAGCTGAGGCTGAAGCCGGAGGAGCAGGTGGCCCCAAGTACTGGGGAGGTCTTTCACTTCGGCCCTGTGCTCTACCCAGAAGATAAAATGCAAGGGCTAGGATCAAGACGAGCAGGATCAATGGAAAAGTTATGACAAGAACATAACCCATCTTGCAAAGGGAAGAGTAAACTAAGATTGATTTCAATGGAAGGGGCTATGTACCTCTTGAAATCGATGAAGATGCACTGTCTTCTCCTTTTAAACAGAGAGTGGTGGAAGCTGATGCATCATGGGTATGAAATGCTATGAATCTGTGATTGAATGATGATAAACATAAGCAGGAGCAAATGAATGATTAGAAAATGCAAACAATCGCAGCTGTGGGCCCCGCAGTAGCCTTTTAGGTCAGTGACCATCCACAGGTCTCGATCCGTGGCCTCTTTCATTTATTAAATTTTGTCTTCTAGGTAAGTTGTTAAAATCCGCGTTCCGAATTTCGGCCACAAAACTTTTCCGATTGGGAGACAAAGTTAGAGCTATAATCCAACAAGTTCAGTTCAAATATATAACAATGCAAACGCAAGCCCCGTACCGTTACAGAGTAAGCCAAGTGAGATGACAGACTGACTTAAAAACTAAGAATGACATTTGCTATTAAGATCAATTTCCACCTTTCGTCAACCCATTTTCTTTAATTCTGCTGCAATTGCACATCCAGTAAACTTTTATCCTATGTAAATATATAACATACATGGATATTCAATTTGCAGCGCGGACTTTTAATACACATGAGAGAGAGTGGAGGGCGAAGGAGGGCGGCAGGGCGGTTGGTTTTGACAGTCCTGTGGGAAGTGAGCTAGCGTATGAGCTGCCTTTCAAAATCAAACAGCTCAACAACAGTGAAGCCATAAGAGGGAAAACTGGAATGAAAGCTATGAACTGTAAGAAGCCAACATTGGAGACGATGTTGGAACCTTTCGTGACCCAGACCCCTCATGGGTGCCAACTGGTTTGTTGGACAATCGCCGCTTGTAGCGTTTAAGGACAGATGCCAGATTCTCTTTTCCCTTTGGAAAAGCTACATCACCAGCAGCAGTGCCTGTTCGACCCTTCCGGCTAGATATAGCAATCTCCACATCCTTAATTATTTCCAAGAGCGTAGCAGCAGTTGTACACTTACCCCGGCCAGGTTTTGAAGCTGGGGGCAACATTCCATTTGAAATAGGAGGACTTGACCTCTGCTGATATTCCCCGGGGATTTGAAGGCAGAAGCATGGGGTCATTGGGGTTCGAGCCTTTGAAAATGCCAGGTCTATGACACCCTGTTAATGAGGAAAGATCACTTTTTAAGGTCATCAAAATAAAGGACAAACCAACAGAAAAAGTAGAGTCTTCAGCCCAGGAAAAAAAGAGTTCCAAAATCAGATCAGGCCTAGGCTCTGTGTAATGACACTTGAAATCAATTTTGCAATGAGGAAACCTACATATGCATCATAAACAACAGCTATAGCTGTGAAGCAAAAGGAAATGCACTGCTAAATTGAAGTAATGATTACAACAACAAATATAATAAAGTTGCATGATCGGGATTAATACCAACCAAAATAAGTTTTCTTCTTAAGGGCACACAAGGTACAAAATTTTTTGCAATAATGCCAGTCATTGAAAGGAATTCCCGCTAACTGAAGACAAGAATGATGAAATAAGTATGAAAAATTCAACCTACCAAACTGTTTGCAAAGCCAGACTAATCTGGATCACTAAGTCAACAGATGAAGCAAACATAACGATTTTGAAAAAATAAACCAATCATGTAATTCTACCATGCCAACAACACTCACTCCTTAATATTAAACTGATAGAGGAACAGTTGACAATTTTAGCAACTGATGCATGCATCAACAAGCAAGGAAGCGAGTACACAAAAATATACCTGGAGACGATTAAGCACGTAAGTGTATTTTCCCCACAGCTCTGGTCGGCTTTCCATCAGTGACAGATCAAGGATCCGGTGAATGCACCACACTCCAAAGCTTATTACCAAATCCGCTTTATAAACACAGCCCTCCCCACAATGAGGAACTGATGAAATTGAAACGTTGACTAAGTTTGCCTCGTCACTCGTTGTAGAACCATACCTCCTTTCAGAAGACATGTATGGAGGTTCACCCAAGTGAACAGCCTGGTTTATCTCTCTAGCTTCAGCATCATAAAGAAACCTCTCCCTTGCTGCTACACGATCAATTAAATCCTCATCAGCTCCATCATTTTGTCTAAACAACCAGTCAGACCCATCCAATTTGAAGAGCTTTACTATACAATGTCGGAAAGACTGAAGAAGTTTGGACTCTAAATCCACTCCAGAAGTAGTATCCCAGGTTCCTGAGTTCAGCCCACTTCCAAGTGCTTCGATGCCAGCAGTTCGTCTTTTCTCAGCCACACCAAACTGCTCAAAAGGCTGTCTAGACCAAAGGGATCCAGTGTCTGAACTTGAACTCAACTGTAAGGGAAAAGCATCTTTATAACCCTTTGATTGAGAAACCTCATCAAAGGCCAATGGAACTCCAGCCCTTGACCCAGTGTTCGGATACATAGGTGTGTCATAATTTGTCCTACCAACAGATGACCCATATCCAATGGAACTGTCCCACTGAGCACTCTTCTCAGACATGTATAAATCCCGATGCGGAACCGAAAGCCCTGATATGTCTGGTAAGCTGTGATACTTCTTTGAATTGACTGATATCCCAGAATTATCATTAGGTCCAAGGGAGCTGATGTCATAATATGATCTTTCAGATTGTAATGGACTATTTCTAGAAACTGCAACATTCTGAAAACCACGGGCTTGAACAGCAGTTATCCCATTTTGCAATTTTTGCCCTAATGTGAAAGCCAGCGGATCTCTATAATTTGTAGGGCCGAGGGCAGGAGATTGTGATGCTGGTAACTCCATTTGACCATTCACGCAATCAGAGCTTCTATTCTTAGCAATTCGACTGAGATAAGATGCAATCTGATATCCATGTACTGTAGCTGGCTGACAATCCCATGCATCAGTAGATGGTGCAGCACGCAAACTAGAATACCTCCTCTCACCAGAATCAACATTACGGCTTGAAGTCTGAACATAAGAATCCACTAACTGCCTGTTATTTGACCACAAGGATGAAGATCCTCTCGAATACCCATACGGCAAATCAATACTATTTTGCACCTTTAGTTGCTTTGGGGAGTCATACATACTTGAACTAATGAGCAGATCAGATCCTCTTCCTCCCACCGAAGGGAAATACCCACCATATTCCTTCCCAGCAGTATCCACTTTCAGTGGCTTTGTTTCAACACCTAATAATACATCTAGTTTCCTTATCTTTGCTTCTTGAGTAGGTTGCCCGTGAAAATCATACAATCGCCCCCAAAATTCATCAAGAATGGCAGCTAATTGACGCCTTGCAGCACGACCTAATCTAGAGAGACTCCCAATACCATTCCCTCCATCATCACTTTTCCCACTGAGGCTCCTCAATGAAGGAGGACCATCTGGTGTCAAAGAGGAAATACTTCCGGAAGGAGGTTTGGAAGGCTCTTCAGGCTCCCAAGTATCTCCATCTTCATCATCTTTTTCAATCTGCAGATCTCCCTCTAAACTCACTGTTTTCTCCACAGGGTTCATTGATTCAATTGTCACTGTCTTAGTGCCTGACAAATCATCATCTGCTACCTCATTAACTAGAGTTGCAGCTGACTCAATTATGGATGCTGACTCCTCCGGGTAGCAAACCGAGGGGCTAGGATATAGACTATTCGAAGAGTTCTCATTAACAGTAGTCAAAGGTATTTCCTGGTCAGACTCCATAATTGTGTCAGGCAAATCCAGATCATAGTTTGTAAAAGATAAATCCGAATGACTCTGAATAGACTTCCCTGGCGTTGATGAACTTTCCTGCCTATTAACAGGTTCCTCTCCATGATATCTAGTTTCACTTAAATCACTTTCCTCCGTCCCTATAGCTGCCTCAGGAACAGTTCTATTCAAATCCCATTTCCATACATGTGCATCAATTCTGACACTAGCAGATTTTAAAGGAGTAGCCGCTAGCCAAAGCATCAAAGAAAATGATGCACAAGCAGTAACAAGAAGAACAATGAAAGGAACAGACATGCTAATCCCAGCATTCAATCTCAAATTACCAACCCAATCACTATTCCCAAATATCATTTCTACTACAAAAATTATCTTCAAGCCCAGCATCCCCATGAACGTTAACAGCGCTAGGAACTCCACAATTGGAGAAATCTTATAGACACCCATAATTGGTCTCGATGAGGCAATCCGGAACAGGGGGATCACTGAAGATGGAAGCAGAAGAGCTACCACAACCTGAGTGAAGACAAGCAACTGATATATCCCTTCAGCTCCGGAAGTCCACACACAATAAAGGGCTGGGACCATTGCTATAATTCTGATTGTTGCACAATGAAGCCAACCTGGTATGTCAAGACCAAGGAAATCATGCAAGACAACATGCCCACCAAGATTCCAGGTTGATGCAGTGATTTGATTAGATAAGAACATAATCAGCAAAAAGACTAAGGGCAGTACACCATTCCTAAACACCTGTTTAAATCATTTGTAAGAAGAATATATCAATATCCACATATAGAACAGCATATTGAATGTCAATAAATATTTGAGCATGATTCTTAAAAGCCATTATAATCAATAGGTTATCAAGAAGAGAAAAAACCTGTTCCATTAGTGACATTGCATCCTGAAAAGTAACCAAGACAAGGCCTGCACTGTAGAATACATTTGCAGCTGAATTCATCAGCACGTAATTTACTAGATAAATACCACTGAAGATGCATAAGATGGCAAATAACTGGTCATGACATAAGGCACTCTTAGAAATATTTGGTGGCCCCTGATGCTGCTGTGAACATGAGAACAAAATTTCAGAAAGTTGACAATGAATCACATTAAAACTTAAAACTCTAAAAAATTGCACCAGCATAAAATAAAACCAAATGAGTTTGCCAGCATAAAATAGATAAGGTGCATTAATTTGCCCCACAGTCTGAGAATGGTATGCCTATAAAATTTAAACATGGTGTAATAAATATTACGTACCCTACATTTGAAAATGGTGCCATAAGTATAAAAAACCCAGCCATTTAACAAAAACACTAGTAAAGCAGCAAAAACTCCATGTACCAGCAAACAATGGGCAAGAGTCCACCTCATTTACTGTTTGCAAAACCACACCCCAAATACAACATGGTATGCAACATAATCTAGAAAAAGTGACTGGTAAACAGGAAGAAAGAACACTGGAAGAAACCGTATTACCAATTATTTTGAAATACATGCAGTCAAAAGTAAAATTCACGTATTCTAAACATGCTACCATTCAACAAATTCAGGCTAAAGCAATTATGACAACAGCAAGTGGACTGAAGAATTATATCTTTCTACTAGACAAGAAAATGAAGGCTAAAAATCTCAAAAAAAAACATAAGACTTGACAAGAAAAAATCAAGTTGAAAATTAGCATAGTTAAGCCAGAATCAACTGCTTGCTTATCAGATATATTTTAGTGTTGTTTCCCCTTCATATATACACCCGCTAAAAGATTATATGAATTTGGGTCCGATAATTGTTCAGGTGGATAGTGGTATTTTTACAGCAGAGACATTCCAATTGGATATGAAGTTCTCACAGATACTGTTGTCTCAATATGAAAATTATTCTTTGCCAAACTTAAAGTTCAATTTAGCTTAATGAATAAAAAATTCAAAGAAACAAAGAAAAACGTAATATACAAAAAAAAAAAAAAAACCTTCAAGCATGACAAAATAAATATACATGTTTATCGATAACATAGGTTAAAACATATACAAATACAAACACCATTGATTAAGAATGTAAGAAGTCAAGAAATTACAAGGGGATCATCCATGTGCAAAGATTCTAACATGGCTTCTGAATCTAAGTATTGTCAAAAAAGATTATCAAATTCATAGTGAAAACAATTTCCAATCTATATAGGATTCACAATCCATTGAAACTAAAAATAAGAGGGCCACACGCTAGAGTCATGTACATACATATATACATTCCAGTAAGAGATACCTGGACAAAAGAAGAATGTAGATAAAAATTGTGAGGCATAATGCTTGCTCCAAGGAGACTCATCAGGGCAAATGCACTTTCCCCGCTCAACTTTGTCAGCATCCCAGTCATGGAAAGAGAAATTTCTGGTTGACTGATAAGCACTCCAGAAATATAAGAAAGCAATATGAAGCCCACTGCATACATGCATAGGAAACTTGCCCTGCAGTGGTCCTGAATATTAAAAACTGATTAGATTGTTGATGTTGTTGCAAGCAAGAGATTGTGCATTAAAAGAAGCAGTTCAGCTTACCAGGAGGGTGGCAAAAACTGGGAATAAAACAGCATCAAGAGCAGCTAAAAAAACACCAGTGGATAGATCCACCCCGAAGAGAAGATTAATCCCATGAGCAACCCCCAAAACCTGGTAAAATGAGGACATTTGTTGTGAGAATAAAACAAATATCTATAAAGTGAAAAACAAAAGTTACAGCTGCCTTAGATCCATCATAATTTGGAATAGGCAGCTGAGCATTGTGGAAGCTCATCAATGAAACAAATTACCATGGTAAGGTCCAACAAAAGAACAGAAAGCTCTGCTTGAACTCCTAAGAATATACAAGTGGCCTTATCATACTCATCATTGCAAATCTGTCATCAACAGAAAAATTCAAAAATAAAAAAATAAGTATCGAGGTATCCATGAAAATACACACACCTATCCTACGCACGCACTTAAGCACATACGTGCAGATGTGTTTGATTATAGATAAGCACTTAATTGTAGATAAAATAATAAATAAGTATTCATTCATTAAAGAAGAGCTCGAACGCTTCTTAATCTAGTGGGAAAATAATTAAAAAAATTATATTTGCAATTATAATTACTTATTTTTGTTAACTTTTGTACACTTTTATAAGTAGGTGAGTAAATAGGCTGTCTAAGATATTGTGTTTTATTATGGAACACTTTTATAAGTAGGTGAGTAAATAGGCTGTCTAAGATATTGTGTTTTATCATGTTCCATAATTAAAAGGAACCAACTTGGCTCTGTCTTCTACATATATTGTTCTCCAATATTTTCCCATTTCCTATATGTCACAAATTTTTTGCTGTAGACAGTACTCATTAGAATATACTGGTACAAGCTCTCTAACCCTCTCTCTTCTTTATAAGTGATAAAATCACATGAAACAATCATAAAAAAATAAAGTAAATATTAACGATGATCTTCATAAAGAAATCCAAAACCTAATTCAACCAAACAACGATAAGCAAAAAAAATCTCACAATAAGCACAAACATGAAAAGAATGAACTGTACCTGAGCAAGATCTTTTCCAGTGACAACACCAATTCGAGCTGACAGGTATTGACACAAAATGGCGGCAAAATTAAAAAGAAGCATGGGGGCTGCCAGATCAAAACCAAAACGTGCACCTCCTTCAACAGTTGCAACCCACTTTCCAGGGTCAACATATCCGATTGATATTAGAAGAACAGGTAAAGCAGCAGGGAGCAGCCGATGAAGAACAGCTGGTTTGTGATTAGCATTCCCCATCTCAGCTTCCATGTTGATAAGTCGAAATTTAGACAATATGCAAGTTCCAGTGCAATACAGAATTTAAATAACTTTTCAGAATAGCAAAAGAACCTCTGATGCTCAACAAGCTACACAATTACATGGTTGCTCACAGGACTGAATCACCTGAGGCATGATACTACCCATCAGAAGACATTCAGCAGGACATCAGCAACTTCTTTGACTAAACAAGATTTTCCAAGATAAAACAAACAGTCCACCCCATTTTCTCCTAAGCTTGCTAGCAAAGGAATGTACATCTAACAGTAGCCCTGGCACTGCAGTACTAGCGGGCATTAAAAATGCACTTTCCCAGATAAATCCTAATAGCCTCTTGTAACACAATCAGTGCTATGGTGACTGCTAACACAGCAAAATTCCAGACCCAGATGCAATCATGAGATGTCAATCTATTGCTTCCAATCCAATCTACTAACACATTACAGTTGTGGACCTATGCAATTTCCCAGTCATCTACCAATTACGAGTAGTTGACCGTTCAAATTCATGCAGGGTTTCTACCAATAGCTTGAACCAGCATAAAATGACAGAAACTCTAAGCTGCAGTCCAAGAGAAAACAACAATTAATCCAAAGAAATTCCTCCTCTTAGGCACCTGCAAAGTCAAAACCCGACTCAAATCAGTCAAACTGGGTAAACTAAACTAACATCAAACTTTAAACATAAATACAAGACAGAGAAATCAAAGTTCCAAAATCAACATCTAAAATAAATTTAACTAAACTATAGTATAAAATCACAATTAAGCCATTCAGTCCAGCTTTAAAACAAATATATATATATACATGATCCAAATCAAGAGACAAAATCGTCAGAGGGTCCACGTACAGTGAGCCTAATAAGTTTTGCCAACCGGTATAGTAAACTAGGTTATTCACAAAAAGCACAGTGAATTAATTCAACCTGGCGAGCATTCAACGGCATCACAAATTCAGTTTCCAAACTAAGTTTCACCATTAATGCTAATCAATAGTAACAGAGACCAGAACGAAACATAAACCAAAATAAACAACCAGAACAAAGAATCTAATAACAACTCCATCCAAAAGCATAAATCCCCAAAACCCCCAGAGACAAAAAATGCATATGTAAACACCTTAAACTTAAAACCCAGCTCAGATCTTACTCAAATACCACAGAGCAAAGCAAAAACACACAAAAGCAAAAAAAAAAAAATTAAGTAAACCCCCAGGAAGCTAAAATTATACAAATCAAGTTCCATGGATCTGATTCAGCTCAAAAACTTGAAAATTAAAAAAAAAACAGTTTGCGCAAATTCCAAGGTGGATTATACATAAAGGAAGAAAACCCAGAAAGCCAAAAAAAACAAAACAAAATAAAACAAAAAACAAAAAAGAAGCTACCCAAAGCTAAATAAAACTAGTATTTGATTAGGGTTTTGTGGATGGTAAAGAAATGTTTTGGGTTTTACCTAGTGGTAAAGTTTATGAGAAGATTGTTTCTGGACCTTATCTGCTATCCTTTTCTCTGCAATCTCTATCTAAAGTTTGGGTTTTAACAAAGTAGATCTTGAGGGGCTTTTTGATGAAACCACGGGGGTTTCTATTGCCTTTTTTTTTTTTCACAAACAGAGATATACAGAAAGAAAAAGAGAGCTCAGTTTCAAGAGAGAGAGAGAGAGAGAGGGAGAGAGATAAAGATAGATCATATATATTTATATATTTCAAGGGTGTGGGCTCTTTTCAAGCCATGTTGAAGAGAGAGGAAATAAAGATTTAAAAAGAAAAATATTACTTGTAGTAATCAAAGAGAAGAAAATGAAAGAACAAATTTTTATGTTAAAGACAGAAGAAGAAAGGCTAAGGTCTAAAAGAGCGTTAACGTTTTCCCTGCCTTTTCATTTGTGTGTGCATATATATATATATATATAACCCCACAGACGGACAGGGATGCTTTCATTTCTTTTCTTTTCCCTCTAAAATATCATAGTATTATTTTTTATATTTTTCCTTTTTTTTAATTTCAAAAGTCTTTTAAAATATATGCCATAAAAAAAGATTTATAAGATAAGAGAAAATTATTTATTTTTATTCAATCGAATTTTATAATAAAGAAAAATAAGATATATTTTAAAAAATATAATTGTAGTAGATGATAATGGTGGATGAAATATGCAAGTTTTGACTTGTAAAATGTACAATAATTGAGTCCAACCAAAGTTTTTTTGGCTTTTTTTTAGCACTATCACGCCTCCATAGGATTTATTCCCTTTCTTTTAATTATTATTATTTTAAGGCATAAATTTAAAAAAATGAATAAAAAATAGATGGTTCGTACTAAATTGTTCCCATTGAATGTGAATTATTTATTAAAGTCATTTTCAATGAATTTTTTTTTAATTTGAAAATAGATTAAGTTTTTTGGTTTTAATATATTTCTTGACTTCAATTGGTTTGCTCATGTTTACTGATTTGGCCATTTGGAATCCTATTTTCAAATCTATATAACTTAAACCTCTTTGAAATAATTTGAAGAATAATGGGTTTCTTTCTTTTTTGAAAAAAAAAGGATTAATTTGTAGAACCCAAAAATGTAAATTAAAAAACAAGTTTTTTTCATTGTAAATAAACCGAGATTTTTCCAACTTTCATAACACTCTAAATTAAGATCAAGATATTTTTCTTAATTAAATTATCCAATACAAGTAATTAATAAAGAAACATACCTAATTAAGATTGGAATCCTGTAGATATTTTGATACATAACATATATATACAGTTACATTTTGAGTAAGTAATTAATCAAAGCAAAAGATTTTCTCATCATAGCAACACCACAGAAAAGATACCAATTTTAGTAACTAAAAAAAGTTTAAAACTTTTTTCCACATTTGAATTTGTACTATACATTAGAAGAAAAATTATACATATATATATTTATATATATATTAGTAATAATCAAACACCCCAAATTAAGACAGATGAAAAGATTTAAAAGAAAAACTGGATTTATTACAGCAAATAAATAGGAAAGGAATAAATAAGGTAATTCTTACCGAACCCAAAGACATAACTTAGAAGACAAATTAGCTGATGCATTATTGTTTTGACTTGTGAAGATACTACCAATCTTGATTTTGTGATCAAAGCACATGGTGTTTAATTAAAAATGGGGTCCACAACCCCCACCCCCCGCCCAACCCCCCCATCGAATCCCTTAAAATGGCCTAATGATCAAACGTTGTACATGTTACATGTAGACATGTATATAGCCTTTTTCGATGTTTATCCATCTTGGCGTTATCAATTGCAAAAATAGTCAGCTTCACTTCTTTTTTTTCTTTTTTTCCCTTCACACTTGATAAGAGCAAGGTTTAACTCAAACCGTACGATGATATTTGTGGAAGACAAGGAATTCAAAGCGTTAGACATTTTGATCCTCTTAGGTTCAAAGTGGCGGAAAGCGACGGTGGTAATTATTAAGTTTAGACTTGTAGTTTTAGACACAAATAAAATCAAAATTAAATAAATTTAAGTTATTTTATATTATTTAGTATATGTAATTCGTTTAAATTTACTTACTAAATTATTGATATTATAAAAAACTTAATTTTGTGTTTAAATAGATTAATTATGATTAAAAAAGTTAGTTGTGTGCAATAAATGTAATGTGTTTGTATAAATACATTTATTTATGATACTATTACTTTTACACAATAACTAACATGAAGTGTCAAACTCAAATAAAAAGATGAGCAAAACCTTTCGTAATTATTTATTTTTTATATTAAAGACTTTTTCTTATTAAAATTATGAAATTTAATTAGTTTTAAAATTATATTTAATTACTATACTCATATGAAAGTTGTATTGATTTGCATTTACATGAATTGGTCAAAAAGATGAAAATAATTGAATGTGAAAATAATAATAATAATAATAATAATAATTAAAAGTCTGACTTGAGGGGTACTTTGGTACCTAAGAACTTAGGATCTAACATCCTTTAGCTAAGCAGTTATGATTCTGTTTCAGTCAGAGAGAAAGGGCAACTTGGGGTAGAGAAGGAAAAGAAAGCAGCAGACAAAGGTACAGTACCATTTTAGTCTCACACCCAACTCAAGTGATAAGGTTTATAATTGCTTAACCCACCCACGGAAAAGTTATTTTATTACTATTTTTTATTTTTAAAAATAAAAAAGAAATAATAATAGTAATAATAATTTTGATATGGACCCAAGAAAAAGGCAGCAGCAAAGCTGAGTCAGTACCATCTTTCTTCTTCTCTCCAACGCTCTGGACAGGCCAGCCTGATCTAGTCCTTGGGAATTCAAAGCATCCAGCTACAGTTTACCTGTATGTAACTCTGTTTTTGTTTCCTCTCAATGTGCAAGTTAAAATAAAATTAATACATATAAAATAATCAAACATGTAAACGTGACAAACTGAAGCAAGCAACCAAGATTTGTAAGCAAGATGAACATGTTCAATGAACATTGATGGTACAATCCCGGTTTAAATTAATTATTCAATTTCAGCAGATGGGGGGTGTTGTGGGGGAGGGGGGGGTTTAATAGCCATTTTTAAACAGAACAATTACCATTGAAATCACAAAACAATTCGCTCAATTTTCTGAATGAATTTTGGCAGTTTAAGGGAGACCAATCTCTAAAGAGGCAACAGGGTCCAGATCACCAAACTGCCAAGAATCTAGTTTGTCTATCTTTGTTTACTAGATTGAGATTTTTGGGACTTTGGGAGCATTGAGGGGATGTTATGAACTTAATCATGATTAATAATGGTAACCCCACCCCATGCCTTTGGTTCATTGCATCTTTAATTGTTTAAACTTAAACAATTCAAGTATTGTTTAATTCTTTCCTTTGTTTTTTTCTTTTTCATGTCATTAATTTTGATTTGTTATTCTTAAATGACCCATTAACATGTGAAACATTCTAGAATTACTTTAGATAAAAAAAAAGAGAAAATTTCAAGAACAAAAAAGGCAAGTGAGAATCTTTTTAACTCCTTTTAATTTATGAATAAAGAGAATCATGGTTATTTTGTTAAAATGATAAAGGTTTTTTGGACCAATATGAGTGGTTCACATCTTTGAAGAAACTTATGATGTTAGATCAAAAATCAAACAAACAAAATCAGTTTAAGGGTCAAGTTTATCAAATTCAAAACCCCTTCAATCCTACTCGTTAATTAAGAATCCAAAAACAATAAAAAAAATCAATTTAAATATGATGCTTATGTTACATATTTCCATCAAACGTGTCACTAGCAAATTGGATTTAATTTATTTTATCATGATTATTGAATTTTGAACTGATTAAGGATATAAGATATCTAAAGATGTTAGATTTGGAAGACTCAAACTTTAAACTATAAGTTTATAATGCCATAAGATGAGTGCTGGACTTAGGACTTCATATGAGAAATGATTTAAAAATAATCATACAACGTCATAGATCGGATTAATTTCATTAACAATTTAAAATTAAAAATTAAGAGGTGACGGTCATCACTTCTCTTCACCACTTTCAATCCTGCACAAAATGATATCTGATATTAAAAATGTGTAACACATTTTCAAATATTTAATTAAAATCTTTAAAAAAATAGTATTTAATTATTGAAAACATGTTTTCAACATTTGGTAGACATACTTCAAATTGATTGAATATATTATAAACTTAAATTGTGGAATGTATATCTAAAATCTGGTAAAATTAACATGTACAAACATGAAAAAAAACTATATTTTATATATAACTTTGACGGTTATTCAATATTTCTTTTCAATAATAAAAAAATTTAGCTTAATGGTCTGAATAAAACATTTAAACCCGTTATGTTTAAAGTTTACGGTTATTCAATTATTCCTATTTTCTCATACCGTTTGACAAATTATAATCTCCTGTCAAGCAGTTAAGTTTAGAAGTGTGACTCTTTTATGTTTTGTAAATAAGAAAATCGACTCCTTACACTAATAATTTAATCAAATACTGATATTAATACTTATTTAATGATCTTACAGTAAAATCAAATTTTATGATGTTACGTACACTGTGACTGCTTGGGTGAAGCCGAATTTACACTTACCAGCATATAATATAAGAGTGCTTCTAATAAATCCATGAAGTCCAAATAAGCATACATTGAATTGACTTTGAAATGATAGCATTACCCCTATAAGCTAGATACAAGGAATTCATGTGAGGAAATTGAAAAAGGCAGAAATCAGATAAAAGATACGTGACCAAAGCTGATTCAGAAAAGGAAGGAGAACAACCATTTGATTGTGACCAAGTTAACAAATCGTGCCACGTTAGCTTTGCCTCTTTAATCCCTTTGAACACAACACCACCATTGACTTGACGCACTATTGCTTTTCCATTGGGTCACGTGAAACACTTTCGATCCAACTAATTAACCCAAACAAGGTTGGGAGACAGTGATTGGATGAGTCAAATTTCCTAGTTGAATTTTGATTAAATAATTTTTTTAAATTAGATTTAGATGGTTGAATATTGGGTTTGTGTCAAATTTAGAACTTAGGTGTTGTACGGTTAGCCTCCTAAAGGGTTAGGGTTGTTAACGAAATTACACTGGATTGATTCAATTGAAAAACTTGAGATTTTAGTTTGATTTAATTTTTTGTTATATATATAAGTTTTATTCAAAAATTAATCAAATTATTCAATTAAATTTGATGATTATTGACTTGATTAAAAAAATTGAAAACTCGATTTAATTTAAACTCCAACATGAATTTAAAACTTGAATAAATATTTAAAATAGATAAATAAATATAATATTATTATTTTATTAAATTTTATCAAATTTTTATATTTTTATTTTGAATCAAATATGTTTTTAAAATAAATACTTTATTAATTACTATTAATTAAAATATCTTTTGTTGTTTTAGATCTACGTGACACTAATGGTGGAGAGTAAAAATTTTGTATGCCATATCAATGACATGTAGTATAGAATAATAAATAATATTTTAATTAATAATAATTAATTAATTATGTAATAAAAAATAAAAAGTTATTTAATTTTTGATAAATATTTTAAGATTTTTTAAAATATTATATTTATTTTTTATAATTAAAAAAATATAAATTTGAATCTTATTTTTTAAATAAAAAATTATATGTCAATCAATTAATTAAATATGTGATGTAATATATATTATTATTAAAAATATTCGATAAAATTTGTGAACCACTCAAAACTAAGTATTACAAAACTCAAATTTGACTGGAGAATAATTGTGTTGAACTCGAATGTTCATCCAGCAAAATCTGAGTAACTTTACGAAGTTGGCTACATTGTATCGAATTCATGTTATTACCCATTATGGAATTTTGAATTATTTTGGTTATTGGCTTAGGTTTTTTTAATGATTAAAAAAATTAATAGTGTATTGACTAAAATGCCTCTACGTTTGACGCGGGTACTCGATAACGAAACTCTGTTTTGGCGGTTTCCCGCAACGCCACCATCCGTTAGTTTCCGATTTCATTTTCGTTGCTACTTTCTACGTCCTCTTATGCCAAAAAAGCAACGTTTTATATTAAATTTCCACTACAATCTCTTTGAACATTCAAACTGTTAACCTTACTTTCTTTCTTTTTTTGATCTGCATTCCCTCACAAACTCATGTAGTCAAAGGATTCATCCAAGGTGATGATGGGATTGGTGGGTTGTTTACTAGGAATTATTGGCTTTGGAATTGGAGTTCCCATTGGTATTTTAATTGGTTTTCTTTTGTTCATATACAAGGAGCCTGCAGATGTAAAGGTAACTCATTCTTTGATGGGGATTTCTTATTTTCCTTTATTATCGAATATCCACTCTTTCATGCTGGATTTGATGCCTTTTTTGATGTTGGGTTTTTGGCTTTATAAAGGAGTTCTTCAATCTTCATGTTTCTTGCAAATGCTTCTTTGTGTTGACATTTTGGTAAAAGGCAACTTTCATTTGGTGATCTATTGACGAATCAAATCATTCTGGGAGAAGTCAACGAATATGTTCTGTATTTTTCTTGGTGAAAGTACCTGATCACATTTCCCAGTATTGATTCCCCCATCCCTCAGTAGTTTTTCCTTTCTTACTGTTGCATTTGAGTTATTTATTGCTTTTACTTTTTCTGCCCTTGCTTTAGTTATGTCATTCCCAACCCGGGCCCTCAGTTTCTCAGTTGAATTAGCTTAATAACTATTTGAGTCATGTTATTAGCTCATTCTTGGAAGCATTCTACCTTATTCTTTAATATTTTTGTATAACTTAATAGATATGTTGTTAGAGTTTGATGGATGGAACACTATATCTAATTTAAAAAAAACATTGAGATATCTTTAGGAGCAATGTTTCTAAGCCTAAATTTGCAGGATCCAATAATCCGGCCACTTCATGATTTGGATACCAGCTCTCTGCTTGATATTTTGCCTGAGATTCCTTCCTGGATGAAGCATCCTGATTATGATCGAGTGAGTTCTAAGATTGGTTCTGTTCATGCTTTGCCAATAGCATTTGTTTCTTCAGTTTTTCTTGGTTTGATTTTATTAAATTTTAATCCTTGTAAGAGCAGATTGACTGGTTGAATAGGTTTATCTCCGACATGTGGCCTTTCCTCAGTAAGGTGATGAGTCCAGAAACACAATTTTTTTTTCCTTTGAAAACACTGAAGTCGTCTGATGATAAAACAATGCCATTCAAGTTCTGGAATGGTACTGATCATTAACTATTCAATTAACATAGAATTTGCGTATACTTCTTCCTAGGCAATTAGTGGTATTATAAGAAGCACGGTGGAGCCCATATTTGCAGAGTACACTGGCAAGCTTCAGATAATATCCATATATTTTAAGAGTTTGAGACTTGGAACTATTCCTCCTACAATTCATGGTAAGAATTGTCTCCAAAGGGATGATGAAATATCTAATTAGTACAATCTACAGCCTAGTGTTTAGAGTTTTTCTTTCCATTCCATTCTGCTGGCTGATGTACTCTACCTAATAAAACATAAAAATATACCAGCATGGGAGGTGTGCCAATTGCAAAACAATGCATAAGACAGTTTTATCTCTGAGTCATGATCCTAAAGATATGTATGAGTTTGGATCTTCATTGGGATTATGATATCTTATTCATCAAACTGGCAGGTATCAAAGTTGTCGAAACCAATCAAAATGAACTAGTATTTGAGCCTGTGCTTAGATGGGCTGGAAATCCTGACATCACTCTGGTGTTGAATTTATTGTCGCTTAAAATCACACTTCAGGTTAGAAGAGTTTCTAAACCATATCTTAACTGTAGTAGGTGTTGAGAACTTGAGATGATGAAATGACAAATGTTGAAGTTTTTCCATTGCGATTTTAATAGCATTTGACTCAAGTCCTTGTCTTCAACAAATTCCAGATAAGCTACATTTCTTTCTTGATATTAAAATGCAGCAAGGTCATCACAGTACCTGAATCAACTACCTCAAGTTTTTTTTTTCTTCATTGTTTATTGATAGCATTTCAGGCATCTCATGTGGTAGAACTAGATAATATATTAATTACTATAATTTTTGTACTTGCATTAGATGTATCTTAAAAATGTGCCCATGCTTGTTCTCAGCTATTGGATGTACAAATATGTGCTGCACCTCGGATAGCTTTGAAACCTCTGGTGCCAACATTCCCTTGTTTCACTAGAATATCAATGTCTTTGATGGAGAAGGTAACTGGTAATGTAAATTTGACAAAGTAAAACTTTGAACTCTATTTGGTGCTTGTGTTAGAGGTTTCCAGTTAAAAGTTTCAAGTGAAGTGAAACTCTTATAATACCCAGCTTTGATGAATGAATGATTAAACAAATATGCAGCCGCAAGTTGACTTCGGATTGAGATTATTGGGAGCTGATATTATGGCAATTCCAGGATTGTATCAATATATTCAGGTGTCATGTATCTCTCTTTACTCTTTCTAGGATTGCCAAATGTCTGATTTCTGGTAGATTGCTTACCTTTTCCAGATCAATCACTTAGATGAGACCAGCAGCACAACCAACTAGAAGTTGACTTTTTTTATTAGATATTTTAACTTTAATTGTTTATAGTTGAAGTTTCAATTGATAGCAAAACTGCTAAAATGGTCATAACCAAAGAGTAAAATAGAGCATTCAAACCATTAGTTCTGTCTTGAGCCTTGAAAAGAACAGATAAACTATACACACCTTTTTCCCGTTGACTTTTTAATTTGTATTGTTCCACCAGTTCACCTAACATCTCTTAATCTTATCTTATTTCTATTTGGGCACAGTTTCACTTGATAGCATAAGGTACCCTGTAAGCCATGCTAATTTGTGAACAGCTGTTACTAACTGCACATGCTAGTTATTTAGTGTTTGTTATGGTTTGATTTTTTTTTCAATTTATTTATTTTTTAAAAACAGAAATCATACCAAACAAGATTTTAAGAAATTCTTAAAAAACAATTAAAGAATAAAATTTTAAAAAAAGCTTCAAGAAAGCTCTTGTGAACTTTTTTTTTTTTTTTTAAAAAAAGCATGTCAGCTTTATTCTCTTTTAATCGATCTCCCTCTCTTTTCTTTTTCTCTACAAATCACCTTTCATCAATGTAAATCACGATCTCACTCTCATCTATTTCTCTTTACAAAAACTATTAAAAAAATAAAAGATTGAGAAATAAAATAGTAAAATTTATAATTTTTTTATTTTTATAAAGATTAAGAGAAAAAACCCAAATTCAAAACTATATTTATATATTATTTAAATATTTTTTTCCTTCTTCATTAAAAGGGATTTTACTGTAAAATACATGTTTTTTTTTTTTAAGAATCGAAGTATCATGATCCAATTGCTTGCTAGATTAACAAAATCTAATACTATTGCTATTATATAAAGTTTGAGAGCTATTTCATTTTTGTATAAATTTGTTTGATTTTAACATTTGAAATCGTATATAAGTTTAAAGCCGACCTATTTTACTTAGTTTATTAAGTGATTGAAGATGTCATGAATACTTTTTATGTAATTTTAATTAAAATTAGAGTTTACATAATTTATTTTACTAAATAGTTTATTAAACAGTTTTAATTTAATTTTAAAAATTATTATTTTTTATAAAAACTTCATAATAACTTTTAAGTTAAGAAAAAAGTAAGTAAAGAAGCTTATGTTTACATCCTAAAAAGGCAATCTATCCAAAACCTAGTGATGCAATTGCATTTACCATGAAAGTACTTCATATATGGCTATTGTTAAGATCCAACAATACTTATTTGAAAAGAACACTTGTGTATATTAAGGGCTTCCGATCAACGAATTACATTAATTTTTTTTAACTATGCATTTGCTTGATTTTTAGAATTTTGTTTTTAATTTTTGCATATGCAATGAAAACACTATAGTCTTTAATTTTGAAATTGAGAAAGTATGGTTATGAATACAAGACCTTGTGTGATCTGCTTTTAGCATACACTATCTCAGATTCTTAGTGCAATGAACTTTATGTTGCCAGCAGGAAATGATAAGCAAACAAATTGCTAGCTTGTATCTCTGGCCACAAACTCTTGAAATACCGATTCTTGATGGTTCAGTGTAAGTTCTTCTATGATGTATAATAGATATCAAATTTAGATTTTAGTTCTGATATACAAGCCAATGAGACTTAGATCTTTGGTCTAAGAAAATGACCTTTCGGGAAAAGAGAACTATATCTTCTTACTTTCTTAATTTCTGTGTGGATTATCTATGCCTATCCTTTTTAATTTTCTGTGCAGTCAAATTGTTAGAAAATGATATATGATTCTGCATTATTTCTTGGCTATTCACTACTATTAGAGTCTGTCAATTAATTTCTACTTACTGAGATAAGGGTTCTAAAGCAGAAGCATCTGTTGCACCCTCCTTTAACTGTTATGTTGTCAACACAGCTAATTGATGCCTCTTAGTTTCAAGCTCCATTCTGTATATCACTCACCTTTTTCTTTGATTATTTTTTTCCCATCTGCATAGAGGAGCTACGAAGAAGCCTGTAGGCATTTTGCATGTGAAGGTTGTTAGGGCGCTCAAACTTTTAAAGATGGACTTGTTGGGATCCTCTGACCCTTATGTGAAACTCAGCCTTAGTGGGGAAAGGCTCCCGGCAAAGAAAACGTCTATTAAAATGAGGAACCTCAACCCTCTGTGGAATGAGGACTTCAAGCTTACAGTAAAGGATCCACAGTCTCAAGTCCTTCAGCTGCATGTTTATGATTGGGAAAAGGTCTAATATTATCTGTTTCTTATAACTCATATATTTATATATTTTCAGTTGCAGTAGCTAGAATTGGCAGCATAAGAAACTAAACCTTTTGTTACTTCTGCACTGTCTTGAGTGAAAATTTAACTGAGGTTTTGGCAACATGGTTTATAGAAATTTAAAGTAATGATTCCAGACAACTATCAACACAGTTGTTGGAGGTGATTTTGTGAGGTTGATCCTTGTCACTTTTTGTTTTATGAGAATGACCTCCCTAAATATTCCTTGGAGAAGTTCATTGCAAGGAGTGTTTGAGATATATGCTTTTCTGCTTTATTTTTATCAAAGTGCAATGTGATCAAACATCATAATAATGCACATGCTATGAAACAGGATAAGTTCCTTTGCTGATTAAAACATTTGTCAATAAGTGGGTCCCTCGACTCGAAAGACTCTAAGCGGGATTTGATATCGAGGCCAACCTCATTTTTTTTGCTTTGCTAATGTAACTGATTTTGTTGATCACTAGCAATGATTTTGTCTGGTTTAACAGGTCGGGACACATGATAAGTTGGGAATGCAAGTAGTTCCACTAAGATTACTCGCCCCTCATGAAACGCAAGAGTTCTCACTTGATTTAGTCAAGAATACAAATCCTAATGATCCTCAAAACAAGAAACCTAGAGGACAGCTAGTGGTGCAGATGACATTTAATCCTTTCAAAGAGGATTATGAAAGATTTAGTGGACCTTTGGACAGATACGCAAGTAATGAAAGTGGTGTCGGTAGGCTACCCAAACATGATGGGTCTATTTGTGGAGCCGGTTTGCTTTCAGTTATCCTCCAAAGAGCTGAGGGTGTTGAAGGGAAGTATCATAATAACCCTTATGCTGTTATTATCTTCAAAGGAGAAAAGAAGAAATCCAAGGTGAATATATAGCTTCCTTCCATACTATATATATGTCAGTTTGAACTTTTATATATTCTCAAATTCCATTTACATGGCATGAGGGGTTGAAAGTGACACCCCAAAGTACACAGACATAGGACTATGTAGCATCATAAGTTAGAAAGACAAGCTTTCATATACATTAATACGGTCAAGTTATTATTGTTTGGCCCGCTTTAATTTCATCTAGCTGGTCAAGAGAACAAGGGATCCATGTTGGAATGAAGAGTTCCAGTTTGTACTAGAAGAGGCACCTTTGAAAGATATGATCCATATTGAAGTTATAAGCAAGCGGCTACACTTCAGTCTCCTACGACGGAAGGTTGGGGCATCAACCTTTCCCTTTTCCTGTACTTGCAATGCTAGACAGTCACTGATCTCTGTGGTTTTCTCTAGGAATCATTGGGGCATGTGGATATCAATCTCAATGATGTGGTTCACAATGGACGCATCAACGAGAAGTATGATCTTATCAATTCCAAAAATGGAGTGATATGCATTGAGATACGGTGGGAGGTGACTTGAGAAGAATCAGGTTAACAAGAGATGGCCTTTGATCTTTGCCATTCTTCTCTTTATGGGTTTATTCTTTCGATATGTACGGTGACTACAATACGCAAGATGGTGACAAGATATCGTGCAAATTTATACATTTTTATTGTTGCAAGGCAACCCCTTTAATTTGGTGTTGCGTGCTGTATTGAAATGACTAAAATTTTCAAGTGTACTATCACTCATCCTATGTAATCCACGTAATTTTAATGTAATGCACCACGACTAGACCATCATGTCATGTGTAGCTGAATCTGATTCTGTGGTCTGCATACCTGCTAGACAAAGCCACAAGACCCTTCATGTTTGGATTAGCTCTGGTTGGTGTTAATCTCTTTTGTACTGTTCCAATTCGAGCTCAACCTTGGAATTTAGGAACACAAAATCTAGACAGGTGCAGAGTTTGAACTCAAGTACAATACAATGAAAAATTTAATGAATCATTATAAATAATACTTTTACGTCTATATATGTTTGGTTCTCTCTATATTTTTATATTTATTATTTTTTTTATATTTTTAATCATTATTCACATGTATAGCTTTTACAATACATAGAATAAATGCTACATATAGAAGTAGTGATGATGAGTATATTGAAAAGTAATGGAAAGAAATCGATTTGTTCTCTATGCTTAATATTATAATTTTATTAGTAATTTTGTAAGTAAATATAATAAATTTGATATTATATATAGAGAAAATATGAGTCTACTTGTGAAATTTTGGCCAGCATGCTTACAATTCTTAATGTTGGAGAATATGATTGAAATTAAACTAAATAGCAACAAAGTTAACAACCTTAGGGCAAGAACATGAACATGGAAACACTAGACATGAGCACGAAACGTTTCAGAAAAACCGTTGCATAGGCCTGAAATGCACGAAGACATCCTGAACCCATAAAATCAGTTGGCTGAGCCATCTCAAAGGACAGGACAGAGCCCATTCAAGTAAAACTGTAACCTTTTGTGTGGGCTTTTAGGCCTGAGGCCCCAAAGCTATGAATCAAATGGAGACAAGGAAAAACAGCAAGAGAAGGAAACCGACAAAGCCCAAAGCTTTACTATCAGTAAATATCTACTACCCTAATCTAATCTCTTGACAACAAAATCTGACGGTTCAGATCTCATAACATTTAATCCAAAGTACGGGCGGCAGGAGGCAAGTTGCCTCTCTTCTCCTTTCAATTCCTCTTGTATTTGTAAGTATCTAATCGAAGCCCTTCCCCTTAAACCCTCCTTCTTTCCATTTCAAAAACCTTATCTTTTCACCAAAGCGGAAGCAAAGGCTAACAAGAAAGGAAGCCATGTCTGCAACATCTGCCTTATCTCTCATTCTCCCATCTCTCAATCCCAAGACCTTATCTTTATCCAACCCTAGATCCATATCACTTTCCGTCTTCTCTCTTTCTCACAAGCTCCATGCAAAGCCTCTATTCTGTTCTGCTCTTCAAAGCTTCGAGCTTTTAACCAAGAAGTCTTCTTCTTCTAGGTTTGTTCGAAACGTTGCCATTTCATCTGAGTATGGTCAGGAGGAAGACCTATTTGGAAGTGATGATGGAGAAGAGGCTCCTAGTTTCTCCCCGGACTTGAAACTTTTTGTGGGTAATCTTCCTTTTAGCGTGGACAGTGCCCAGCTCGCTGGCTTGTTTGAAAGTGCTGGAAATGTTGAGATGGTTGAGGTACTTTTGGTTCTATTTTCTTACTAGTAATTTGCCGAGTTTATATTTCTCAAGGAGTTCTACTTGTTTTGTTTTCATTATGTTTTGGAATTGATTGTTGAAAAATTGAAATGGATTGTTGCGTAATTGAAGGCTAATCATGATATAAAGTATGAATCTTTAGAGAAATGCTTGTTCTTTGGTAGTTTAATTAAGAATTTATTTGGATTAAAGCAATATGGACCTTATTGTTTAACTGTTCAATTTTAGCAGTACGTTTAACAATGCTTTTTTTTTTTGGCATTATGGAAGAGTTTTTAGTATTCTTTTTCCAAATTTATTTCGAGATGAATGTTGAATGTTGAAAAAGACATTTTGCTAATTGAAGGGTTATGAAATAACTTGTTCTTTGGTGATTTAATTTAGCTTTGATTTGAATGGAAGCTGTATGTTCTTATCATATCATTTTAATCATTTGGAAAGTTGAACAGAATGGTCTCCAGTTTGATGTGATGAAGTGATTGCTTTTGTCAGGTGATTTATGACAAGGTAACTGGGAGAAGCAGGGGATTTGGTTTTGTAACCATGTCCACAGCTGAGGAAGTTGAAGCTGCTGCTCAACAGTTCAATGGCTATGTAAGTCATTTTTTGGTGTCATGTGTTATGAACTTATTGTACTTTGCACATTTTGCAATTGGATTCGCTTTCTATACATCTCTATTTAGACAAATGCGACTATCCTTTTCTGGTTTGGAGCACATTCAAATGTTGATTTTCTTCATTGTCATTATTAGAACAGTTTTGAGAGGTGACATCACATTCTTGCTTTAAAACCAATTGTTGCAAATGTATTTGATCAATATCAGAACTAAACAGCTTTATTCTTTCTTTCTTTCTTTTATTTTCTTCCGCATTCTCTTTTGCAGCATAGTGGAGTGGGTGGGAAAAGAGTGGGGGGGTGGGGTAAACGTGTTTTGACTGTATTAGGCTAACACCCAATAAAAATCATCAAGACATAATGAATCTATAGTCTTTATCTGAAGTTTGTATGCAGTTTATCATAAGGAACTTACTGGTTGCAGGAATTGGAAGGGAGGGCATTGAGGGTAAACTCTGGACCTCCTCCTCCTCGTAGGGAAGAATTTTCTCCTAGAGGGTCAAGAGGTGCTCCAGCTTTGGGTGCTTCAAATCGTGTCTATGTTGGTAACCTTTCATGGGGTGTTGATGATTTAGCACTTGAAACCTTGTTCAGCGAGCAAGGCAAGGTTGTGGAAGCGAAAGTCGTTTATGACAGGGAAAGTGGAAGATCAAGGGGTTTTGGCTTTGTAACTTACAATTCTGCTGAAGAGGTTGACAGTGCCATTAAATCCTTGAATGGTGTTGTAAGTTGATCATTGCCTTGATTTTTTATGTGTGAATCCCTGTAGTTATATGGAATCAATTACTGCATCATGGAACTGAAGTGATAGAATATATAAGATAGGTTATTTGGTGAATTTATACTTTCAGTATCATTCATGCTTCTATAATTCTATGCCGGGCACCTGTCAATTCTCATGTGCATGATTTTGTACAAAACTGCTACTTCCAGGAATCTAATAAGTTCATTAATGATTGTGAATTATTTCAAAATTTTGAATGGTGCAGGATTTGGATGGCAGACCAATTCGAGTCTCTGTGGCAGAGTCTAGGCCAAGGCGTCAATTTTGAGTGTGAATGTTTCATACTAGTACTGCTAAAATTCTTTGGGTATGAATTTTAGTCTTTGGGTATTTAATTGGTTTTTTGTTATAAAATATTTGCTTGCCAGGCTACATTTGGTCAATGTTGTACTTTCTTTATCATGAATTTTTATTTCCATAATTTATCTTCCTATTTTTACGTTTCATCATGTACTTGGGGATCTTTGCCTTTGGTTTTCCAAGCTAAAGCACATGAAATTACTTGTTGACCTTTATCTTATCTGACGAATCCACACATTCTAGGTTGAAAATGTGCTATGTAAATGTTATGTTAAGCTCAATTACCTTTTGTTTTATTCTATAGACTCTAGTAATTATTTGTTTAGAAAAATTGGTCTTGAGCTAAATGTTCATTTCTTATAGTAGTTTAAGTTTTGATTGGACGGCATTGTTAAGATTTATTATTCTTATTTATCAGGGACACCTAGAATATGCAGCTGGAAGCTGGCGGTTGCAACTTTGTGCTCTTCTTGGGAATCTGCAAACATCCTTCTTGTACCAGCTGCATTTGTTCTTTTCGACTTCCGCACTAGATTGGAAAGAGCCAATGATATCCATTGAAATATTTTCGCTGTATGTTCTAAGTATCATGATTCAGTAACTGACATGTAGCCTAATGTTTTGCCTCACTGGATAGAGTTGCTTCAAATTATTGACTTGTTTGGCTCCGTTGTATGTATATGCTGCTCTGGAAGGTCTATGCTTGTTCATTAACTACAGGAAAAGCTAAACCTGGAAATGTCACATAACAACCTAGATTCTAAAATTTGTAGATGTTTGAATTTGTGAGAGCAATATGAATTTATTGGGAGCTTGAAACTTGTTCAAGCTTGAGACCTCCATGCACAATGATGTGGCAGCAAACTTTACAACCCTTTTCTCGTGGGGTGTGGAGATGTGTCATTCTATTTTTCCAAGGTTAGGTATAACAAAATGATCGTTTTTTTGACAAAAAAGTTATATCAAAGTGATTAAAACAACGATCTGATGGTGACCATGGCTCGGGACTTGGGAGAAGAGCTCAAATGATTGGGTCATATCGGGTTGGGGTTTTATTGAGGACATGCTACACTGGACTTGGGTAGGTTCATTTTAGAGGTTAGAACTTCTAGCAATGTTAGGCCCCTCGCTCAGTGCAGTTCCATATTGTTTGGACTTTGGAATTTGGATAGTTATATGCTATGGAACTCGTTAGAGTGGGCTTGCCTCATGCCCAGGTTCACTTTCTATGCACCCCATTAATGGGCTGATCATCTCACAAGGAACAACGATATCCACTAATGCATGTTGGTTTCCTTTTTGTTTTCCTGTTCTCTATAGAACTCTGGCACACGTTTTTGTGGAGGTATATGCTGATGCATTACCAGCTATTTCATGCCTTGTAGTTATGGGGAGGACTTTAGGTTTTGTGGTTTTGATGATTTCAGACCTGAATCAGGAAGGGGATAAACTCTTGGGTAGCCATAGCATGTCAAGACAGGTTTTTCTTGTGAATTTTTGCGGTTTTGCTGATCGCCAATGCAATCTATTTGGCCGTTGCTTGTTCACGCTTAGACCCGTTTGCCATTAAACTGCTTTAATTTTGCAACACAGATCCACCACTGTTCGACCTGTAATACAACAAAAAACCAACCTCCTCTTGAGAGTCCAAAAGTGGTCATGTGATTCCTATAATTATCATCAGATAAAAGGATTGAGAACAATACCATATTGGGTCATCTACCTCAACTTAATTCAACCTTACTTGTGACTTGTTTTTTTGATACTATTTGATGAAGGAGGAGCACCATATCCTACCCTGAAGGTTGGAGGAGCACCATATCTGTCTCTGATACCAAAAAACAGAAAAGTGTTAAACCTATAATTTGAGATTTTAATGCTTACTTATAATTATCTTTTTTTGAATGTCTAGAAACAAAGAACTCATAGCCAGAGTGAAGATTGGTTCTACTCCAACTCCAAGCTTACCATAGTAAATATTTGGTACCTACCCCACTCAACTTTATTGTGCTACAAAGAAATTGAAATCCATTAAGGTTCAGATTCATGGTGTCTACGCAATCGTTCGCCAGGGGAATGCCCAAATGAAACTGTGATGCGTCTCTTTACTGCTTCCACCTCAATCAATTGAATGATTACTATAAATTTTCTTCTTTACTGCAAAGAGTAAACATGTCTTTCATTTCCCCTTCTTTTTTTCAATTGGTTTCTTGTTAGGCAGCTCTTCAATGTCCTCCACTCTGAATTTTGCTTAATAGTTAATATTTTTTTGGACTTTTCCTGGTCTTGAGTTCTAAGAATATGCAATATTCTTCCACTTTATAATAATGTTTGCTCTTAAGGTCCATCAAATCTAAATTTGTTTTCTCTGGCAGCAAGAATTTTCCAAAATGGAAAGCAAAATTAGGATAGCCACTTGGGAAAGCTTGTAATGTAGGAGTCAACGTAGAACGACCTGCTGTCCTTCTTTCATAGATTTTATTCACTTGTTTGTCTCAATGCTGCACAAATGGAGAGAACCAAACCAACGTTATGCTTTCTAGCAAGGTGTTAAACTCATCCTCCTTGTCCTAATATCAACATAGTCAACCCCCATGTGCGACCTGCTTGTTTTTTTTCTTTCTTTACAAACAAACAAGCAGTCTACTCTAGTCTTCTTAGCTGGATCCTAGATACATATATTTCCACATAAACTGTTTAATACTTTGAAGGGAATTAACAAATAATAAGTTGTCAATCCAAATGTTCTGACTTTTGGTTAACATCCCCAACTTTCAACAGCTTCAAATAATTTCTCTTGGCGGATCTTTATAGGGGAGTGCCACTTTCATATGACTCCGTAATATGGAAAAACTTTGCATTTTGAAAGAGACAAAAAACCAGGAAGTGTGTTGCTTAACCAAAATAAACTCAAAAGCAAGAGTCTAAACTTTGGAATGTGAAACTGCAGCTTCATGCCAATTCCATATATATGCCCTCCTTCGTTCTATTTTTACTATATCTATCCTAAACATTACATTGTTCACACTTAACTTTTAGATTTCAGAGTTGGGCGTGAAACTTGAAAGATTTCAGCAGAGAGGATCAGAGGAGGACAAGCAGAAATATAGCCAAAAGTTCTGGGACTGCATGGTATGATGGCTACTTAACTTCAAAACGTTTTCTTTCCTCCTGTCTTTCTAGAACCATTTAGGGGTTATCATGCCTAATCGTGTTTTTTATAGCTGCTGCTGCTACTGCGACTGCTACTGCTACTGCTTGTCTTTTTTCTTCATTAGTCTTTAACTTTGAGTTTGGTTTAAAGGCTTCCATATATTATTTTTTTTCCTGATTTTCTTCTCGAAATCTTTATGACAATTGCCAACCTTTTGTCCTTTCTTGGACTATATGCTGATGATGTCAACCATCAACTGAGAAGTTCATCAAGTCTGTGAGAACTTTTTGTCAATGATGCTACAGTTAAATCAATATACTTTTGCTTTAAAAAATACGAGAGGTCAGGTCAATTCAGTGGTCCTGTTTATTATTTTTTTTGTTCCTTGACTCATGCTATTTCATGATAGAGCCCACATGAATGCTCAGCAGCCATTCTTCGCCTGAAGTGAAGGCAATATGATGAGTTTCTATGAACCTTGTTGTGCCGCAGATAAAATAATTGGGTCCTTTTGACTAGTTAATTCGCCAATGGAACAAAAAAGTTTTGCTCAAAAGTTGCTACGAAATTAGAGGAGCAGTGCTTTTAACTTATGGAAGTTGCTATACATTTTCTTAGGCATTTTTTTTCCTTGGTGACAAATTAAGTACGAGATAGTTTCTTGGTTTTAGTGCTCAGTGCTCTGTAATTGTTCATGACAGATCATATCCAGTGATTGAAACTACAGCAGTTTATTTGCTAGAGCAATGGCTTCTGGTAATTCAAAATCTGTAAGGTCTGTCCTGCCACTCACTTTAACTATTCTCAGAAGATTTTACAGTTCTGTTTTGCCTGATGCTTTTTGCGTTACTTTCTTCTTTCAGTGCTTTGAAACCAAGGATACTGGTTTTCGTTTTCCTGTAGTCGTAGTGTAAAAAAAATTTAATGTGAATTACTACTTATGATTGCTGATCAAATTCTTCACTAAAATCTTCTGATATCAATTTCAGATTTCAAAATGATCCTGAGAAGACCACTTTTACATCCACCAAGGGAGGTCATCTTTCAAAATTTATGAGCAAGATGAATTGCAATCAAGTGCCTGAGCTGCGAACCAAAACGTTTGAGAAGACTGCAATTGGCAAGACTTTTCACAAGAAAGAACTCTCCAGGGTATTTTCAGAAGACTACGAGGTAGTGGAGAAGACAATATTGGATCCTCGAGGGCCTGACATAAACAAATGGAACAAGCTTTTCTTAGTAGCTTGTCTGATATCTCTTTTTGTAGACCCTTTGTTCTTTTATCTGCCACAGGCTAAGAAGAGCATGTGCATTACTGTTTCTCTACCTCTTGAAATTGATCTCACAGTTACTCGGTCAGTAGTTGATGCTTTTTACATTATTCAGATTTTTGTTAGATTTCGAACAGCTTATGTGGCTCCATCCTCTCGTGTGTTTGGGAGAGGAGAACTAGTCATAGACCCTACAAAGATTGCTTCAAGGTACCTGCACAAAGATTTCTGGCTTGATATAATCGCTGCACAACCCCTTCCACAGGTATGCAAGTGATTAAATTGAATGTTGGGTTCTTTTTTTGTCCTCAAAATGTTCTAGTCTAATTTAAACAACAAAAAGTTGTTCATCAACTTAAAAATAGTCATGGATTTAAATTTCATGAATGTTCATACAAGTTTATAGGGTTACAGTTCTCATTAGAAATAACACTTGGTTTTCCACATTGCAGGTTTTGGTTTGGGCTGTAATCCCCAAATTAAGGGGTTCATTCATGGTTACTACGAAAAATATTGTTCGCCTAATTATCATATTCCAGTATCTCCTGAGGCTATACCTTATCTTTCCACTTTCATCTCAAATTATCAAGACTTCAGGGGTTGTGACAGAAACAGCATGGGCAGGGGCTGCTTATAACCTGATGCTCTATATGCTGGCAAGTCATGTATGTTAACACGCTGTGATTTTCAGATGGGAACTTGTATAAACAAGAGTGTTTTTTGTTTTTATATCAAAATGCTCTTGCCATTCTGCATTTTCTCTATACATCAAGATCCGGTGTCTGTATCATCAAGTCCTTTATTAGCTTGATCAAATAATTGTCAAAGCCTGAAAGTACAATCAGTTCACTTTATTCTACTTGTATATTTTACTGCGTGTGAATTGAATCTGTTCATTCCCCTGTTTGTAAAAAGGTTTTAGGAGCCTCTTGGTACCTCTTATCACTTGAACGGCAAGAAGAATGTTGGAGAAAAGTTTGTAGTCTTCCCATCGTAGATTGCCGCTATGAGTTTTTTGACTGCAGCTTTGTTGGTGATCCTGCCAGAGCTGCTTGGTTCAATTCAAGCAATATCTCAGGCCTATGTGATCCAAGAAGTGATTTCTTCCCGTTTGGCATTTATGCTGATGCATTACAATTCGGAGTCACATCAGAAGGATTCATCAGGAAGTACCTCTACTGCCTTTGGTGGGGGCTGAGAAATTTGAGGTAAATACCATAGAAGCTAGATAGTTATCCCTGTTAATTTTTATTTGAAGAAGTTAATGATGCTTTATAACTGCCATGAACAAAAAGGACAGTTCCTTGTAGTTGTCGAACAAAAAGAAACAATCTGATTCAAACTTCCGTTTTTACACCAAATTTCTTAGGACATCTGGTGACTGTTAAGCAGTAGACGCTTAGACTGTTCTTAGATACGATTCAGAACTGGATAAACTTGGTTAAGCAATGCAGTTTAGGATTCCTAACTTTTATGAGGTGTTCATTCTGTCTTTCTATACCCTTATTTGATTCTTTCGTTTGCAGGAATTTTTTCATTTCATTCAAGTATGTGGAAGTGGAAGCATTTTCCTGTTGCATTTTGCAGCTCATTGGGACAGGGGCTCTTCACAAGCACTTATGTTGGAGAAATAATTTTTGCTATCATCATTGCTATTGTTGGATTAGTGCTTTTTGCACTTCTCATTGGAAATATGCAAGTAAGTCCTCCAGTTATGTAGTAGGATGATTTTATTTGAACACAGCCGGGAACTTTGTTCCGCCTTCAGTTTGAGCATAACTTTATGTGGAGGATATGCCTGTTGGAAGAGCATCTTAATCGTTCTTCTGGAAGAACTGTGTTCTTTTATACTCCATTGTCGTAGTTTGTTCAATTAATCTTTTACATTGACAGACGTATCTCCAATCTACTACTGTTCGACTGGAAGAATGGAGGATTAGGAGGACTGATACGGAACAATGGATGCATCACAGGCAGCTTCCTCATGAACTAAAGCAGAGTGTTCGAAGTTATGATCAATACAAGTGGGTTGCAACTCGGGGTGTTGATGAGGAAGCCATTCTGAAAAGTCTCCCTATGGATCTTCGCCGAGACATCAAACGCCACCTCTGCCTTGATTTAGTTCGACAAGTAGGATACTATCTCTCTTTGCTTTATATATTCTTGACAAGTTCTCTATTCAACTTTTGAATTAGGACTAATGGGGGTTATGAACTTTCATTGTAAATGTACAACAGGTGCCACTCTTTGATCTGATGGATGATCGGATGCTAGATGCAATTTGTGAAAGGCTTAAACCATGTCTCCGTACCCCATCCACTTGCCTTGTTCGTGAAGGTGATCCTCTAAATGAGATGCTTTTCATTGTCCGAGGCCACCTAGATTCCTTCACTACCAACGGTGGACGCACAGGATTCTTCAATTCAAGCCGGATCGGTCCAGGTGATTTCTGTGGTGAGGAATTGTTAACTTGGGCCTTGGACCCTCGTCCAAATATTGTCCTCCCATCGTCTACACGCACCGTCAAGGCTATCACTGAAGTGGAAGCTTTTGCTCTTGTTTCTGAGGACTTGAAATTTGTTGCCGCCCAGTTTCGCAGACTGCATAGCAAGCAACTTAGGCACACATTCAGATTTCACTCGCATCAATGGAGGACATGGGCTGCATGCTTTATACAAGCAGCCTGGTTTCGCTATAAGAGACGGAAAGGGGTAGCTGAGCTCAAGAAATGGGAGAGTATGGCAGCCAGTTCACCTGAACAAGCAACAGAACAAACGGGTGCACCGCCACTTCCTCCAGTAGCCTCAGGCTTTGCCTCATACGCAGCAAAACTGGCGGCAAGCACCAGATCAAGAGGTGGGAGTATGCGGTGTGGAACCGACTTTGACATACTAGGCTCTTTGCAAAAGCCGAATGAACCTGATTTTACAGTTGAAGATAGATAAGAGAATAGCATCATCAAATCAATGTGTACATTGTATACAATAATTCAAATTTGATAAGGGTTTAGCATCCAATCTGGAAGTAGGAGGCAACCACACTCTCACAATGTCTTTGGCAACAACTGTCAATTGTTTACTCGTAGTAGTCTTTTTTAACCTTTGATAGGAATTAGTTCGGTTTCAATACTTAATTGATCAAATAAAATATTGCTCGTTAGCCGAAATTCCGTTTTCTTTTCTCTTAAACCGAACCCTTTGTGGCTTTTCTTCATCAGGAAGAAGAGGAAAAACGAGCTATACATAGCCCAAAGGATGATAAAAGCCCGTCAGATGAGCCTTATTAGGTTAGACAGTATTTGGGGCTGGAAAACCTCACCTTCTTCGGTCCATGGAGAGCTCCAACATAGCCTTTTTTCAATTTTAATTCTGGGTCATGGTCATGGTCCAGAGGCCAGAACCCATGGGCTTTATAAAACTCACTATCCTATCAACACAGCCGTGACAGACTTCATTCACCGCCCACCCCCTCCCCCCCACCTCCGGGCCCCCTCTTTTCCTTGACTTTGCCAACCTATATCCAAAGCTATACTTTAGCAAGGGTAGAAGAAAAATATCATTGGAAAATGGACAATGGCATCAAGAGTTTTAGTCTTAAAGAATCACTTAGTTATATGCGTGTGCAAATGCATAGTGCATTTGCGAAGCCTTTGTTTATATATATTTAAGTTGCAGGCTTTATAGATCAGTACTTTAATATCCACCAAAAGACAAAATATTTGCGAGCTTAATGATTCACAACTTTTGAACTCCATAACCTTTGACTTGAAGCCTAAGAGAACTGATGTATTATATTAACTTAACAAAGTTTAAGTTTTCATGATTTCATGTTTGAGGCTGAGTAACAGAGCCTGTATTAATCTTTTCATAGCTTATATGTATATATATTATTGCTTCAACATATATTCCCTTTGTCCTTATTTAGTTTTCTTTTTGCAATGAATGAGTGGCAACTTTTCTTCATATTAATCAAAACAAACAGGGAAGGAAGAAAAGGAAGAAAGAAAGAAAAAGATCCAATGGAAACCTTGCCTTTAAGCCATTTAGTAACCATTTCTTTTTCCTCTATTTTTTGGGTTTTTTTTTTTTTTAATTTTCTAATGGGGATTGTGGAAAGGAATGATGGGCTGTATATCAAAGTCTGAGTGGGTGTGGTAGCTTTCCAACTAAGGCTTAAGAAATGAGGACATTACTTAAATTTCAAGGTCATATTTATCTTATATTCATATGCATGCCTTTTGAATTGATCCACATGGGATATCCCTCAACTGGTCATCATGTTTTTTAAGCACAACGCTGAGGAATCCTAGAAAACTAATTGAATTCTTGCATGGGAAGAAAAATTTAAGCAGTAAAAGTTAAAATAATGAAAGGAAAAAAGGATGATTGAGGCCAGTTAATTTCTGCATATTCTTTATTGAAATTGAATTGATGTTGTTGGTGCTGCTGCTGGTTCTTGTGTTTCGAGCTAAGGTTATTTTAAACATGAAGTTCTGACCTGAAAGGCAGAGAGGGGGAGATAGACAAACGGGTGAGCATGGAACATAGAATAGCAACCAAAAGGAGGACAAGATCAGTGAAAGGGGAGATGACAATGGGACCCCAAAACCTAGTCAGACAGCAGTTCCATATTTCTTTGTTCTTACAACTTTTCTTGCTTTGTTTTTTTCTTTTTTCTAATAGAACTTTTTTATTACAGGTTAATTACTTGGCATGACGATTGCTTTTAGGCATGGATCCACCTTGTTGTCACTACCAGCAAAATATGCCTTTGGAGTGAACTGTGTGGCCATTACCTCAGCAGAGATAGGCCCACCTTTTACTTAGTGGCCTATACCCAAAATGCATCTTGGGTCAGAAAATAAAAATAAGGAAGAAAAATCAAAATTAATAACTACCCTAATAATTTATTTCAAACAAATGTACCCCTTTTGAGAAAAATGCAAATAGAAAATTGACAATTAAACAACTAATTAAGAGGGTAATAGGGTGAGTTGGAGTTAATTCCTTAACTATGAGAGAATTAAATATTAGGAGAAATTGAAAGCCATAGCCTGGAGAGAAAAGTAGGAATTGTATACCAAAGTGATGGCCATGGTGCTTTGAAGCATTTGCTGTTTCATCATGATAGCATGGTGGAAAAACTAGGTATTGGAAGGTTTTGTAGAGCCTCAGTCATAGTTGATGACCTCCTTTTGTTTTTTTAACACCTGCATTTGAACAAGTGAGTACTAGCTAGCTCCCTGGTTAGGAGCCAACAAAGGTCCCACACACAGCCAGCATTACTCCATTGCAGGGTTTTCAATGGAAGGTGTGGGGAGCAATTAGTGTTGGATAAGGCAATGAGTGAAGAGTAGTGAAGGGAAACAAAAAAAGGCATTAAAAATTTGGAATCCCAATGGCATCTGCATTATGTCTTTGACCAACAATGTAGAAGTTGAACACAAAAGGATTAATTCAGTTTTTAACTTAATTAGTGTCTTTGATAAGCCCAAATTTCTTAGTTTTCCAACTTAAAAGCACACCAAACAATTGCCATTCAATAAAGAAAGTCTGCTTGTCTCCTTCCTTTTTCATCATAGTATTGTTTTAAAAATTTATTATGTTGTCCAAATGGAATTATACCAGAAACTGTTCACCCTGGCCACTGATTCGGGAATCTCACTCTTCTTCAAGACCTCCCTGAATAATAATGTTTTGTGGAAGTAGACATGAAAGGAAGCTATACAAAGAGGGGATAAGAAATTATATATATATAGATATATATCTGCCAAATGTTTGATCATGGCCTTGGACCACAGCAATGGCCGTCATTTTGGAAATTGGGATGATGTTTATGATTAGAATCTACTCCCTGCAATTACACTAAGAAAAAAAAAATTCTATATCTTGCAAACCAAACATACTCAAATCTCTCCCTCAAAAAAGGTTTCCCCTTCCCTTAATCTATGGGGAAAGTTGCATAATTCTTGCCATGTGATGAGTGACTACAAAGTTTTAGGAGCATCATTCTTGCATGCTCTTGTATCATTTGATCTTCAATGTCATCAAACCCCCAAAACTCTCTTATAGTTGATATACCATTAAGCAAATTGTGTAGGAAATGCTAATGATTTCCTAGATATATGTACTCTTAGTTATTGAAATACATTCAAGTTAATTTTTTAAATGAAAAATTATCGTTAGAGTTACGTAGACGGACGGTGTATAAGATAATAATTCATGTTTTAATCCCATTTTCCAATTAAACTCGACAATTTCAGTTACCAATCTCATTCATTATATCATAAACCGCCCAAGAATTATAGAATCCACCAGATAAAAGCGATGGAGGGTTGAGTGCAAGTGATGATGATATTTCATTTTTGTTTAGTAGAAGCATCTGGGAGGAGCAGCGGATGATGGAAAGTCCAAAGAGTTGCCAATATGTGTTCCAAAAACAGGGGACATTGATCCTGAACCAAACCATATCGGTTTCTCTTCGTGTCCACCCTATTGCTTACTACGTTTTTCTTTTCTTTTTCTCCCTGCGAAATGATCGGCATCTCTCTCTCCATTTGTTTCACAAAATGTCAAAACACTATCAAGGTTGCTTTCAAGTATGTAGTCAGGATTAAGACATTGTTTGAATTAGGTTACGATCAAGTTATAGTTACCCTCCACTTCAAGTATCTAATAAAAGAAAATTATTTACAAGAAGGTTGACGGATGTCGGTCGTCTTTTTGATTTTATTTTTAAATTAAGCAATGTTTGTTTATAATTTTCTTGAAATATCGAGCTTTGGATCTCTTCAAATCGAGTGATTATTGATTATAAGAATAAAACTTCACGAGCTTGATTAATTAATGGTCGTCTAATAATTTCATGTTAATTAAAGATTGTGATTAAGTTTGACTAAAACGAACTCTAACTGTAGTTGTCAAATAAACTATTGATGGGAAACGGTTTAGTTATGGATTGTGGGGAAGGTAGGGTCAATAGAATCTTTATTAACCTTTTCCTCAATTGTGTTAAGTAATAATCATGCATTCGTTCATAAACTATACTTCTTGGACCTAATCATGCAAATCCCAAATTGCTTCCTTCTCTTTTACATTTCCATCAAATCCTTTCCAAAAATTCCAAAATAACAATTAAAGCTAAATGAAAATTAAGCTTCTGTTCAAAGTAATCGAATTGAACCCTACAAAAAAATAAGAGTGGGTAATTGAAATGGTGAAAAAAAGCTTTGAGATTCAAATTTGACAAGTGAAACTAAATTATGAGCTTCACCATGACCCAATTTAGCTTTACGTATCCCAATCTTTACCAAAGAAAGTCTAAGTCATAAAGGAAAAGAAATGCATGGATGCATTCATGCATGCTTGCTTGCTTGCTTGCTGCATGATCACTTTTTCCATGAACAAAACATATTTAGTCAAAAGAAAACTTGAGCAATATATATTTTTAAAGCTTTAAATGAAAAAGACGAAAGTGTTAGCATGGGGTTTGAACCCAAAATGTATGAATCCTCCCCCTCCCTCGCAACAAAAGGAAAACTTTCGGTTCCATGCATGAAAGTCAAGAGTCAATCCCGGCATTATTTATTCATTTATTTCTTTGCTTTTTCAGAACTGTCCAAGTCTTAAGAAATTAGCATCAAGGCCCTCTTTGCCATATTCGGTATAAAGGGATTAGTAACTTACAAAAGCACCTCGAAATCAGGCTTTTCTATACCATGCTTGAATGCAGATATTTCCAAAGGTGTTTTTCCACCTTCAAACCTAGCCTAGCTAATTTCTAACCTTTTCTCGCCGCACCTATATGCCATGACAGAACACTGATTTTCTCCTCTCATATATAATCCCTATATGAATCGTACGAACATGTAAACTTTAATGATATATAACACACATGCATACATATATATACGATTATTATATATTTAAAAAAACATTGCAGGAAATAAAA